AGGTTACACTCTTCCCTCAGTGATACATTTTACAAAGTAGCTACATATTGTGCAGGTATAAAATATACATTTGTATATATTTTTGTGTACATTAATTTTTTAAAGCTATTTGACTAACTTTTATATTTTATTCAATGTTTTACTAACAGAATAGTCGAATAGCAACCTGTTTTTTGTGCAAATTGCTATATCAGTCAAATGTTCAATTTTGGAATAAAGTGGTGGAAATTAAAACTATCAGGTTTATACAACGTCGACCCCCAATGTAGCAGACCAAGGAAGCAAGGACACGAGGCAGGTAAAAAGGTAAGTGATATTTATTTACAGGTGAAGATAAAACTCGAACAGCTGTAAGGGAAGGAGAGAGATGGTGAATATATATCCTCTTGGTGGATGATGATGATGATTGATAAATCAAGAATTGATCCTTACTTGTTATTGTTTCAGGAGATGGTTGAGGAGGAGCAGAGAGTGGGATCCTGGGTGTGAGGAGGAATCCAGAGGAGAGTAGCAGGTTGACCCAGACAGAGTGGTGGATGTTGTTGCTGGAGACGAGACATCAAAGGTCCACAGGAAGGAGTTCCAGTGGAGGGAGAAGTCCTAGGGAGGACCAGAATGAACCAGGCCGTGGAAGGTCCGATTGTCAGAAGATGTCCCAGCGCTGGAGAGGAGGCTGGCAGCTGCTTAAATAGGTGAGTAGCAGTACTCCTCAGATTGGTGGCAGGTGTGACGAGTTGGGTGATTAGCTGTGGAGGGAAAGTGACAAACAGACACAAACAGACAGAGGGAAACCAGGAATCCCACAAAAACATTGTTTTTGTTATTTTTTCGATTCATCGATTAATCGAAAAAAATTATTGGCCGATGAATCGATTATGGAAATAATCGTTAGTTGTGGCCCTACTTGAGAACACAATTTTCTGACCCTGAATAAGGAAAAAACAGAGATTCTGGTGTTCGGTCAATGCAACCTCCTGCTTGAGCATGACAGTGTGGTTGGTCCTTTGTCCTCCTGTCGTTCCTTTGTAAAATACCTGGGTGTGATCGTTGAGCCTCTGTTTAAA